CATTGCTAACACCTAACTGCTGCTGCCTGAACCCCTTCCTCCACCTATGGAAGCTCAAGGCTCTGACTCATCATTGCTAAGGTCAAGCTCCCACTCCTTGAGCCCCACCTCCTATGTCCCATAACAGAATTGAGTCCTCATTGCTGTTACTATACTGCTATATCCCAAGATACACTTTCAGCTCCCAGGTCACAGCTTGAACTGTCATTGGGGGCTAAATGGCTAGAGTTCTATGCCCAGCTCCCAGGGTCCTGCCATATGCCTTGAACAAGCCACCACTGGATCATGCTGCTGCTATTTTTTGACTGCTACTTGGGACAGAGTTGAAACTTTGACTTAGGCCTCAGGTGATGCTACTACTATACCCTACCACCTGGGGCCTAAGCCCCCACTGAACTTTGTCATCCCAGAGCCTGTGTTACTGCTACATTCCTCTAGCCAGCCAGAGTCACAATGGTGAGCCCCCGAGACCCAAATACAGTTTCTAGGGAATATGTGCACATGTCTCTTCCCTAGACACCAGTGCCACAACCACACAAGTGAATCTGTGCACCCATACACACTATGTGTGGGTCCATCTATGCCTAATCCTGGATGACAGCTCCTGAATGACAGCTCCAATACTGCTTTGAGGGTGATCCAAGGTCAGCGTGGTATACCAAACACCAAAAAAGATTCTCTCAGCAAGAACTTCTATTCATGGACAAGACAGAAGAGAGTGGGATGATATTTTTAATGTGATCAAAGGGAAAATGACCTGTCAACCAAGAATATCTCACTCAGCAAAGTTGTCATTCAGAAATGAAGGAGAAAGACTTTTTCAGCATCCCAGGGGATGGTGTGTCAGAGTTCCAAGTATTTCCCCAAATGGAAGTGAGAAAAGACCACCAATGACTCCACTGGTGGTCTGTTAAGGCCATGTGTCAGAAGAAATTTTAACTTAGACATGCCTTATAAAAATGCTAAATAAAATTATTTCAGGTCAGAAAAAGAGACATAAATGTATTAAATGAACACACAGTATGCCTTAAATTTATATAAAGTTACATGTCAATTATATCTCAATAACAAACAGCAAAGGATATATTTGTATACTTACTGCTCCTACTAAGAAAATGACTTAAGAATATAGCTATATGGAGCCTGCTTCTCGCTCTGCCTGTGTCTCTGCCTCTCTCTCTACCTGTGTCTTTCATGAATAAATAAATAAAATATTAAAAAAGAATATAGCTATAAGAGAAAGATAAAGCAGTTATAAACATATATTATTCACCTAACTCAGAACACTCAAATACATGAAATAGGCAATGATATATTTAGAAGGTTAAATAAACATCAGTGAGTATAGTTGGGGTTTTAAAAGTTTTTTCATCAGTAAAGGATAGCAACTAGTCACAGAATCAGGAAGCCTATGGAAGTCTCTCAAAGCACCAGCTTGACACAACTGACATATGTAAAAAGTATTCCTCCAGGTCATAAATAGGAATCCAACATTCGAAGGATGGAAATTTTGTAAGTATATTCTCTGAAGACACAGGAATAAATTAGAAACAACAACAGAAAGAAATTTAAGGAATTACTAAACATGTGGAAAGTGACATATTTCTGAAAAATTTACAGTTCAAAGATGAAAGCTTTGAAAATACATTGTACCAAATGATGGAAATTACCTTGTACTGGATAATAATAAACTGAGAATATATAAAAAATTTTAGGAGGAAGCTAAGTAGTGTTTAGAGACAATTCATAGCTTCATCACATACTCAAAAGGAATACTGTGGGCAGCTGGGGTGGCTCAGCGTTTTGGCGCTGCCTTCACCCCAGGGTGTAATCCTGGAGACCCAGGATCGAGTCCCACGTCAGGTTCCCTGCACAGAGCCTGCTTCTCCCTTTGCCTGTGTCTCTGCCTCTCTCTTTCTCTCTGTGTCTCTCATGAATAAATAAATTATTTTTAAAAATAAAAAGATTAAAAAGGAATACTGTTATAAATGTAAGACCTGTGTAGCTGCCTTCTCAAGAAGCTGTACGGAGAAGAGCCACTTAAAGTTAAGAAGGAAGAAATGATAAACATATATTTAGCTGAGAGCTGATTGTGTAGTATGTATAATAGAACAACTCATGGAAGCCCCCAATGGATCCATGCCCAAACATCCAAGAGCATCAGCAATAGTATGAATGAATACATTGTAGTAGAATCAGGCAATGGAACAGAAATGAGTTTGGACAATTTATAACTTCATGTAACTATGTGGATAGATCCCACAAGTTTATATTCTTCTGAAAGAGCCAAGAAAGAAAAAATACATAGTGTTTGATTCCATTTATGTGTTTTTAAAATGCACATAAAAACAGGAATGGGGGCATCTTGCTGTGCAAGACAGTATATACAAGACAACATAGGAAGATTCAGACAGGTGAAGAGCAAGCTGACAGAGCACTCTAGACCTGAGGAAAAACATGAAGGTGAGAACCCTGAAATTTCTCTTTACTTTACATATCCCAGACTGGTTCCAGAGAGCCTGGAAATGCATATACACCAATGGGAACAGATAAGAGATCCAAAAATGTTTTTTGATCCCAATGAAAATAATGGAGAATAGTCATGTTAGAAGGAAAGAAAATTTTTAGACACTATATGCATTATTCCAACTAAAAACCATTGACTGTCTGGCAAAACTATCACTCAGAAATTCAGGGGGAAATCAAGACATACTCTACTAAAAGAAAACTAAGAAAATGAAGAAAATGTGTCACCACCCAGACCCACTCTGAAAGAACTGCTAAAGGGAATGATCTAAAGAGGAATTAAATGATAACAGAAGGACTCTTGGATGATCAGAAAGAAAGAGACAACAAAAGAAAGAATAGAACTATCATTAGTTCTAATGCACTTTCTTTCCTTCACCTCTTGTGTTTTCTAAATTGTTTAATATTTGAAGCAAAATTATCAGTTGAAGCAAAACTATAACATCCATGTGGTTCTTTTCAACATATGTAGAGAAATATTTAAGACAATTATACTATAAATGGAGCATATTAAGCAGACATAGTAAGGTAAGGCTCTACATTTTACTGAAAATGCTGTGGGTTGTGATAGACTGTGTAGACTGTGATATTTGTATGTATAACTATATATATAAAGATATCAAATATCCATGTTGCTTATACGAAGCAGATTAAAACATATATGGACATATATATAACTTTCTATTTATAAAATTATTTCTGAAGAAAAGATCTACATGACTGTAAATTATGCTCCATTAATGTGGCCATGAAGTAGAAAAGTATGACCTTCACTTTTATCTCACAGCATCATACACACGGCATTATAAAAAATAATGGATCATAAACCATAATTAAAAGCTAAAAAATAAAGAAATGAAGAAAAATGTAGACCCAGGAAGGTAATACAGAAAATTATATTTATGAACTTTCACTAACTTCTGAAACAGGTCCAAAATAACGCCCAAAATGAGGAACTGGACCATGATAACATTAAAATTCTGATCATTAAAAAAATTAAAATAAAGAAAATAAAATTCTGATCATTAAAAGACTCCAGTAGGGGAGTAAAAAAGCACGTCATAACTATCTCCATTTCATAAACTCAAAAAAGTTCTCATATCTAAAATATGGCAAAGACTAAGAAAAGACAATACCATCTAGGAGAAATGAACAAAAGACCCACTCCAGCACTTCTCATTCTCACAGAGGAGAATATCTTAATGTTTTATAGTCCAGAAAACAATGATATTGCTATTTAACCACAAGAACTTATTGTATTAATTTTTCTGAGACTACTGAGTTTTGGATAGAGAGATTATTTTGTACAATAGTCTCTGAAGACAAAGGAATAAATTAGAAGCAATGACAGAAAGAAATTTGGGGAATTTCCAAACCTGTATACATCATCTAGAAAAGTATAGGGATAATTTAATATATTGAAAGATAGACACATATCTATGACCATGTAATTTCATACTAATGCTTAAAGGAAAATGTATTATAATAATATATAAATGCAATTATACTGTATTTATATTTTAGTATTTTATTATGACAAATACAATAATTATATACCATAAATATACTATACTATATTCTATGGGGTTATGTATAATAAATTATTATAAATAGGACTTGCAAAAAAAGACATATAAAGACACTGGGTAGGCTCAGTTGTTTAAGCACCTGATGCTTGTTTTCAGCAAAGATCATGAGCTCGGAGTTATGAGATCCACCCCTGCATTGGCTCCATGCTCAGCACAGAGTCAGCTTGAGATTCTCTATCTCTCCTTCTCCATCTGCCCCTCCCCCTGTGCTCTCCCTGTAAAATAAATAAATATATTTTTAAAAAGACATAGAAAAGGCTTTTCATAAAATATTTATCATAATACCCATATACAAAAAAGGAATACATTTCTGGGAATATATTTAAAACTGTCATATTCTTATAAGATAGCAGTGAAAATTCACAAAATATAGACAAATGTGATAATATAGATGGATTACAAATATTATATGAGTGAAAGGAAATACACATAAAAATATATGCTGCATTATTCCATTGATATAAATTTCAAAAATAGCAAAGATATTTCATAATATTAAAATTTGCAGGGCCGATGAAGGCTCCAAACTTCTCTTTCATGCTCTGATTTACAATTATGTGGTTCCCACTACTTTGTGATCAAGCTACACAATCATATGTTTGGTTGCCTTGATGTGTGATAAAATTAAATAGTAAACGTAGGTATTTCATTCAAAAGAGCATTTATTGAAGTATGATTTTCTATGAAAAGGAAGAACTAGAAAGTATCAAATGTACATCAAAGGTACAAAAATATAAATAAAATATGATAAGATTAAACTATGGAATACTAAAAGATTCTATAATAAAGAAACTAGAAATATGTACAAAAATATGGACATATTCTACAAATATAATATTTACTGATAAGCTTTTAATAAAATGCAGGAAACATTTGAAATCTTACCATTTCCTCTTTCTCATCTATATAGAGCAGAGTAGAGTTCTTAGAAGCACAGGACAAGAAACTCTCATTCCATGGTTTTCTTTCAGTGCTAATGTAATAGCAATTGTTGGAGTATGTAAACCAATCTTTTGGACAATGACCACAGTGATAAGCTAAAGAAAGATTATGAGATGTTATTGTAAAAGCTTTGAATATTAAAACATGCAAACTTACAACTTGCATATGTATAGAAATGTGCATATAACATATTCATGCACCCTCACAAGCTGGTAAAAATAAAACAAAATGCAAACATACACCCAGAAGAGTCAGGTTTGATTCCCTAATTTATGTGTCCATATGAAGCAACACACAAAACTGTCCATTTCTACACGTACTTTGAGTCAATGAACAATGCCAAGTTTTTGGAATTGTTCAGTGTGTTAGTTTTTATCATATTATAGCAGGAAGGAATTTGAGGCAATGGGTAGTAATGGGGATGGTGATTTTTTTTATTTTTCTTTTTTTTAGGATCGTGATTTCAAAATAGAATTTCTTCATACTGTTGCATAAGAAGGAACACTCTTTATAATCATTACTTATTAATATACATTATCTGTATTTTACAATTTATGTCTCCCCTCAAACTCTATTATGATTTTGTACAGCCTAGAAGGAGACAAAATATAAACTATGTTAATATCACAATTATGGAAATCATTACATAACTTTCTGGATTTTGTAACTGGGGACAAATTGTTCTGCAATGGCATTTCACTACCTAAAAATATAAATTAATCCTTGAAACAATTTTAGGTTTTCTGCTTGAAACTTGGTGGACTTTTTAAGATTAGAACATTCTGGAATAAAATTGATTTACCAAGATCATGAAACTTTGAGGGCAAATCAACTCAAACTCAAACACTTAAACAACCAAACTTCAGCATGTCTTAACAGTATTTCCTTTAACCAGTCTCAAGAATTAAATTCTGGAGGGAGGGGCAAGACGGCGGGAGTAGGATCCCCAAGTCACCTGCCCCACCAAATTACCTAGATAAACTTCAAATCATCCTGAAAATCTACGAATTCGGCCTGACATTTAAAGAGAGACCAGCTGGAACGCTACAGTGAGGAGAGTTCGCGCTTCTATCAAGGCAGGAAGACGGGGAAAAAGAAATAAAGAAACAAAAGGCCTCCGAGGGGGAGGGGCCCCGCGAGGACCGGGCTGAGGCCGGGGCGAGTGTCCCCAGGACAGGAGAGCCCCGTCCCCGTCCCGGAGGAGCAGGAGCTGCACCAACCTTCCCGGGCGGAAAGGGGCCCGCAGGGGGTTAGAGCAGGACCCAGGAGGGCGGGGATGCCCTCGGGCTCCCGGGGACACTAACAGACACCTGCGCCCCGGGAGAGTGCGCCGAGCTCCCTAAGGGCTGCAGCGCGCACGGCGGGACCCGGAGCAGCTTGGAGGGGCTCGGGCGGCGGCTCCGCGGAGGGGGCTGCGGGGCGGGAGCGCGAATCCACCAGCGCAGGCCCCGGAGCACAGGGCGCCGGGACACAGCCCAGGATCCGGCCTCCCCGGGACAGGCAGAGGCCAGGAGGGCCCAGGACAGCGAGGACGCTCCTGCCCCGAGCTGAGCAGATCAGCGGCCCCGCCCCGGAGCCTCCAGGCCCTGCGGACGGAGAGCCGAGAGCCCGAGCCCCGTAGTTCCTGCGGAGGCTGAATCCAGGCTTCCAGAGTTGCCATAGCAACTGCGACTGTTCCTCCTGGGGCCTCACGGGGTAAACAACCTCCACTGAACCCTGCACCAGCCAGGGGGCACAGCAGCTCCCCGAAGTGCTAACGCCAGAAAATCAGCACAACAGGCCCCTCCCCCAGAAGACCAGCTAGACCGACAGGGGAAAAACAAATTATTGACCAAGCAGCACTGGAAAGTTCCAGGGGAAGTCAAGGGACTTGCAGTGTACAGAATCAGAGAATACTCCCCCTTGGTTTTTTTTTTTTTTTTTTTTTTTTTAATTTCTGTTTGCTTCCCCCACCCTCCTTTTTTCCCTTCTTTGTTTTTCTTTTTTTCTTCATTTTTTCTTTTTTTCTTTTCTTTCCTTCTTTCTCTTCCCTCTTTTTCTCCTTTTCTCAATACAACTTGTTTTTGGCCACTCCACACTGAGCAAAATGACTAAAAGGAAAACCTCACCTCAAAGGAAATAATCAGAAACAGTCCTCTCTCCCACAGAGTTACAAAATCTGGATTACAATTCAATGTCAGAAAGCCAATTCAGAAGCACGATTATACAGCTACTGGTGGCTCTAGAAAAAAGCATAAAGGACTCAAGAGACCTTATGACTGCAGAATTTAGATCTAATCAGGCAGAAATTAAAACTCAATTGAATGAGATGCAATCCAGACTAGAAGTCCTAACGATGAGGGTTAACGAGGTGGAAGAACTAGTGAGTGACATAGAAGACAAGTTGATGGCAAAGAGGGAAACTGAGGAAAAAAGAGACAGACAAAAGACCATGAGGATAGATTAAGGGAAATAAATGACAGCCTGAGGAAGAAAAACCTACGTTTAATTGGGGTTCCTGAGGGTGCCAAAATGGAGGGCCAGAATATGTATTTGAATAAATCGTACCTGAAAACTTTCCTAATCTGGGAAGGGAAACAGGCATTCAGATCCAGGAAATAGAGAGATTCCCCTCTCCCCCAAAATCAATAAAAACCGTTTAACACCTCGACATTTAATAGTAAAGCTTGCAAATTCCAAAGATAAAGAGAAGATCCTTAAAGCAGCAAAAGACAAGAAATCCCTGACTTTTACGGGGAGAAGCATTAGGGTAAGAGCAGACCTCTCCACAGAGACCTGGCAGGCCAGGAAGGGCTGGCAGGATATATTCAGGGTCCTAAATGAGAAGAACATGCAACCAAGAATACTTTATCCAGCAAGGCTCTCATTCAGAATGGAAGGAGAGATAAAGAGCTTCCAAGACAGGCAGGAACTGAAAGAATATGTGACCTCCAAACCAGCTCTGCAAGAAATTTTAAGGGGGACTCTCAAAATTCCTCTTTAAGAAGAAGTTCAGTGGAACAATCCACAAAAACAGAGACTGAATAGATATCATGATGACACTAAACTCATATCTGTCAATAGTAACTCTGAACGTGAACGGGCTTAATGACCCCATCAAAAGGCGCAGTGTTTCAGACTGGATAAAAAAGCAGGACCCATCTATTTGCTGTGTACAAGAGACTCATTTTAGACAGAAGGACACCTACAGCCTGAAAATAAAAGGTTGGAGAACCATGTACCATTCAAATGGTCCTCAAAAGAAAGCAGGGGTAGCCATCCTTATATCAGATGAATTAAAATTTACCCCGAAGACTGTAGTGAGAGATGAAGAGGGACACTATATCATACTTAAAGGATCTATCCAACAAGAGGACTTAACAATCCTCAATATATATGCCCCGAATGTGGGAGCTGCCAAATATATCAATCAATTAATAACCAAAATTAAGGCATACTTAGATAATAATACACTTATACTTGGTGACTTCAATCTAGCTCTTCCTACACTTGATAGGTCTTCTAAAAACAACATCTCCAAAGAAATGAGAGCTTTAAATGATACACAGATATCTACAGAACTTTACACCCAAACTCAACTGAATACACATTCTTCTCAAGTCACATGGAACTTTCTCCAGAATAGACCACATACTGGGTCACAAATCAGGTCTCAACCAATCCCAAAAGATTGGGATCGTCCCCTACATATTCTCAGACCATAATGCCTTGAAATTAGAAATAAATCACAACAAGAAGTTTGGAAGGACTTCAAACACATGGAGGTTAAGGACCATCTTGTTAAAAGATGAAAGGGTCGGGGATCCCTGGGGGGCGCAGCAGTTTGGCGCCTGCCTTTGGCCCAGGGCGTGATCCTGGAGACCCGGGATCGAATCCCACGTCGGGCTCCCGGTGCATGGAGCCTGCTTCTCCCTCTGCCTATGTCTCTGCCTCTCTCTCTCTCTCTCTCTCTCTCTCTCTCTGTGACTATCATAAATAAATAAATAAATAAATTTAAAAAACATTAAAAGATGAAAGGGTCAACCAGGAAATTAAGGAAGATTTAAAAAGATTTAAAAAGATTCATGGAAACTAATGAGAATGAAGATACAACTGTTCAAAATCTTTGGGATACAGCAAAAGCAGTCCTGAGGGGGAAATACATCGCAATACAAGCGTCCATCCAAAAACTGGAAGGAACTCAAATACAAAAGCTAACCTTACACCTAAAGGAGCTAGAGAAAAAACAGCAAATGGATCCTACACCCAGCAGAAGAAGAGAGTTAATAAAGATTCGAGCAGAACTCAACGAAATTGAGACCAGAAGAGTGGAACAGATCAACAAAACCAGGGGCTGGTTCTTTGAAAGAATTAATAAGAGAGATAAACCATTAGCCAGCCTTATTTAAAAGAAGAGAGAGAAGACTCAAATTAATAAAATCATGAATGAGAAAGGAGAGATCACTACCAACACCAAGGAAATACAAACGATTTTAAAAACATATTATGAACAGCTATACGCCAATAAATTAGGCAATCTAGAAGAAATGGACGCATTCCTGGAAAGCCACAAACTACCAAAACAGGAACAGGAAGAAATAGAAAACCTGAACAGGCCAATAACCAGGGAGGAAATTGAAGCAGTCATCAAAAACCTCCCAAGACACAAGAGTCCAGGGCCAGATGGCTTCCCAGGGGAATTCTATCAAACGTTTAAAGAAGAAACCATACCTATTCTACTAAAGCTGTTCGGAAAGATAGAAAAAGATGGAGTACTTCCAAACTCGTTCTATAAGGCCTGCATCACCTTAATTCCAAAACCAGACAAAGACCCCACCAAAAAGGAGAATTACAGACCAATATGCCTGATGAACATGGATGCAAAAATTCTCAACACGACACTAGCCAATCGGATCCAACAATACATTAAGAATATTATTCACCATGACCAAGTATGATTTATTCCCGGGACACAAGGCTGGTTCAACACTCGTAAAACAATCAATGTGATTCATTATATCAGCAAAGGAAAAACCAAGAACCATATGATCCTCTCATGAGATGCAGAGAAAGCATTTGACAAAATACAGCATCCATTCCTGATCAAAACTCTTCA